GGATGTTGAAATTGTATCTTGAGTAATAACAGGTGGTTGTTGTAAACGATGAACAATTGGAATGTAATTCTAAAAAAAGAAAAAAAAAGAAAAATAAATATCAAACAATATTAAAATTAATAAGATTTTTTTATTTTGTTGTGCTTACGAGATGTTGTGGTGGTTTAAAATATGTTTTTGGTTCAACATTACCAATTGCTCCAAAATGACTAATTGATCGTACGAAATATCTTTGACTTGATGGAAGACAACATTTACAAAATATAATACACGTCGTGAATCAAAACAGAGTAATAAAGTACGTTTATCATATACCGATTGTCCATCATCAATTAATAATACGAAAAATGATGATTCAATTAATGGTAGTGGATTAGTAACAAAATCAATACGATTTAAATTATTTCCAAATTCAGATACTGTTGAACAATTTATAGCCAATGATATGGTAACAAGTGTTGAATTTAATCAATCAACAACAACAAAATCACAATTAAGAAAAACAAATTCGGCCACACAACAAGTAACAAATTCAAGACAATCTTTATTACGTTCACCATCTGCTCGTTATACTATACCAAAATTTCCTGTTCGTCAAAAATCATCAACAATATCACCACGTGTTAGTGTTGCAGAATGGAATAGTCGTGATACAAGTCTATTATCACCACCAGAAAAAGATATAATTAATCAACGTTCAAAATCATTTAATTCTAATGGAAATATTTTAACAATAAAACAAATGAATACTGAATCAACATTACGTGGTGCTCTAGGAGCTGTATCACCTGATATGTATATGCAACGTAGTAGAGTAGGATTTTTAGATGAAGATACACCTATATTTGAAGAAAATTTAAAAAAATTACGTTTAAGAATACAGTACGATGATCAAGGAAATGATCTTATTGTCAATATCATTGAAGGTAAGAGATATTAACGTGTGTCTCATAATAATAAGTGGCCTAGAATAAATGCGTCACTTTTGTTCTTTGTTCTTGAGACACTACTCAGTGGTTCAAAGAGTTGGTTCGAGGCTCATTCAATAGAGAATGGAATTCTCTACAAACCTGCATTTTTCTCGTTTGAGCACCATTCAAAATAATGAATGATGCTATATTGTCGAACTACAACCCACTGAAAATAGAAAAATATTTGTCTTGATCTAAAAATACATTCCATAAAGAATTTTGAAATTATTAGAAGACTCATCGGAAAATGTTACATCTTCTCACATATTGTTCGAAATTTTGCAGTTACGTCTTCCAGGAAAAATTCTCTGTGATAAACTTAACTTTTGAACTTTTTTTTCACAAACTTTAGTTTTTGAACTATAAAAGCAGTAAAATATTCTGAATCCAAGATTTTAGTCTTATTATCTTACATAGAATTAAATTCTGCATCTTTTGATTGAAACCATCAATTAACAAAATTAATTTAATTTGAAAAGCCAGTTGAAAACTAATTATGAGTGCAACTGACGTAGCGGAAACATTCTATGAAATTGTGAATGAGCGAAATCGACAGAGCATAAAATTCTCTATCTTTGTACGTAGAAAAATTAACTATTGAACCTCAGATAATGGGTTAAAAATCTCAAAAAAGGGGACGACAAAAGCATGTGGTAGTTCGACAATTCAGCACCCGTCATTATTTTGAATGATACTCAAAGGAGAAAAATGTAATCAGAGATTTAAATAGCAGGTTTGCAGAGAATTCCATTCTCTATCGAATGAGCCCACTCTCTAAAAAAAGAAAGGTTTTTTTTACGAAACTTAAAAGGGTATAGAGAAGTGCAATCATTTCTAAACCCTTTTAGGTTTCGTGGAAGACAGGGTGCAGTACGAAACCATTTAAGTGCATAAACTCTGGCATTTTTTTTTCTAAAACTTTTATTTTCTGAGCAAGTGGACCATTTCAGCAGCTTAGGCGTGTTTTCATTGTATAAGGCGGCGAAAACTGAGCCAAAAAAATACCTGAAATTTCTGTAATTTTTGATTTTTCGAGAAAAAATCATGAGGAAAAAACATAACCAAATAAGCAAATGCACTGGTCAATCGTTTCAATGCACTTAAAACGGTTTCGTACTGCATCCTGTCTTCTACGAAGCCTTAGAAATGATTGTACTTCTCTATACTCTTTTAAGTTTCATAATAAACCTTTTATTTTTTAAAGAGTAGAACAAACTCTTTGGACCACTGGGAAGTATCTCAAAAACAAAGAACAAAAGTGACTCATTTATTCTGAGCCGCCTGTTAAATAAGCCTCGCCGTATTTTGACTGTAATTTTCTATCTTGTCTGGCTTGCTGAGACATAGGTTTTTTTTCCTCAAAATATGTGCTGTCAAATTTTCTACAAAATGTGTGCTAAGTGTTTTATTGCATAAAAAATGCTGAGAAACCTCAAGACCGCCAACTTTCTAACTAAGAATACAGTTTTTTCGGTTGTATTCTTTCACTTGTTAAGACATGAAAAAGAAAAGGTCAGTTCGTCATTTTGTAGCGCTTGAAAAACTCTATCTTCGATTTATAACTACAGTACAACTAGTTACATGAGAATTCTTTTACTTTTAGTCATTTAGTCAGAAATCATCATTTTAGCGTAGTATTTGAAAAGTTGATAGTCTAGACGTTTCTCAATATTTTTCATGCAGTCTCTCACTTTTCTATTCTAGAATAAAAACACTTCCCACACATTTTGTAGAGAATTTGACAGCACATATTTTGGAAAAAATGTGTGTTAGCATTGACAAGATAAAAAGTTACAGTCAAAATATGGAGAGACTCATTTATTATTCAATTCAAACTATTTAGTCTATTTCTATCCAGTTGTTGTTTATTTTTATAGCACAAGGTCTTCCAACACTTGAAAATAAAGAATTTGCTAATCCCTATGTAAAACTTTATCTTCGTCCACCTGTTGATCAAAAATTACGTCAAACATCTATTCAACGTCAAACAATTAATCCATGTTGGAATGAATATTTTAAATTTTATATTGATACAGCTGATCAATTAAAATCTAAAACATTATTTTTATATATTTATAACTATGAACATAATAGTAGAGCAGAATTTATTGGTGAAATACAAATTAAATTAACACAATCAAAAACAAATGGAAATGATTTATGGTGTCAAATTACGAAACAAAAATCAGTAAGTTAAAAGTGATTTGATGGATATGATTAGATTTGACATTTATAGTAGTCAAACGTAATGAACCATATAATAAAAAATAAAAAAAACTATGCATTAACGTTTTAGTTGAAATGAACAGGCAATGTTGTCATTAGTAAAAAAAAAATAAAAAATATATATATGTGAAGTTCGTGTTTAACAAACGATGAATAATAAAACATCTCTCTCTCTTTCTCTCTCTCTCTCTCTCTCTTACTATATGAATTAGCTCATACTTGAACCGAAATAACCTGTTCATTTGTTCAAGTATAACAAACGAACTATAGAAGAAGAAAAAAAAATGATCGACATAAATAAATGTTATTATACTTTGGATCAAAGTACTCTCATTTTAATAAAATAAAATTTTCTTTTTATTAACAACAGTCACACTATGATAAAATATAATTTATCTATCTTAGATCAAGTAAAAAAAAAAAAAATTCTATCTAATAAAACGTAAAAAAAAAATGTCATGTTTTTTTCATTACCATTTTTCATTCTTGAAAAACATAAAAGATTTAAAAAAAATGTATAACTTTATCAATATGACAGAAGAAAACAATAGATTAATTTCTTCTTGAACCCATATTCATTTTGTTCTTACTAATATGTTCATTAAAAAAAAAATTTTATTACAAGAATTATTCTTTTTGAAAGAAAGGAAAAACTTCTTTCCTTGACACAAGTTAGAAAGAAAAGAATTTCTCTTTAACATTGATTATATTAACACATCTTTATCACGACGTTTTGACGGTGTGATCTACTGAGTAATACACCCTTGGGTATATGACTCATAAATTTCTCATTGGAAACGAGATATTTATCTTAATCAGGCCGTACGTCCGTACGTAAAAAAAAAGAGATATTTATCTCTTTTATGATTTTTTCACAATAATACTCATTATCGTAAAACTTAACTATTCCATCACACAGAAGGTGATTGTTTTCCTGATATGAAAGTCTGATTTTCGGCCATTGTATATCTTTCAAAATAAACGTATATAACCTAAAGAGGCTATAAAAAATAGTCCAATTTTTTCTCAAATCCTATTGGGACATTCGAGTAAATGCATGAAACTATTACTCTTATTTAAAAAAGCATTTGCAAGATTAGATTCAGTACTAAGATCTCGTTTAATGTCAGAGAAATCGAATAAATGAGTAGAATATTTGTTAATCTGAATCAGTGACAGAAATTTTTTATTAGAACTTATAAACTTGTTTTATAAAAAACAAATTTCTAAACGATAAATGTCAGTTTATATATAATTCATGCATTTGAAACAGTCAATAAAGTTTTAAAAGTGAATCAAATTTCAAATCGTTTTAATACTTCTAATTGATTCTCTATCCATCGTTCGAATCAAGTCACATGTTCGATATATAAACACAAACATCTTTATCAACTTGACTATTGTGTAGAAGTATCAACTTTTGTTCAAACTTGATAAACATGACTGTCTGTAAAATCACTATTATAATACGGCTTGTCTAGCTAACGATTCCCTTTTTTCGCTCTTTTTCAAAAAATTATAGCAATAAAGGGGATATCCTGTCTTCATAAATCCAGTTTCCCACACATTTATGAAACTTGTTTCCAAGTTTCATAAAATTTAGGAAACTTGGATGCGAAATTTATTAACCTAGAAGTTACATAAAAATGAAAAATTTTATGAAACTTCTTACAAGTTTCATAAAAAGTTTAGTATCGCTCTCAGAGAAATATTTTCTTAATTAATTAGCACATGTCTCTTAAAAAACCTGTTGTTGTTAATTAAATTTGTTTAATTGATCAATTAGGGTAATTGTATATGTCCCTGAGAGACTCACACCTCACTTAGAGACTTGTACATACACTTTTAGAATACAATTCCGTATTTTTATTTCAATCACTCTATGTCTCTTCCTAGAGTACGCTCGATGGAATATTCAGCGTCTAAAAAATGAGAGAAAAAATAAAGATTCTGTTTCTCAGCGACGACCCGTGACGGAAAAGTGATTTTTTCATCTTATGTAGTCCATTGCACGGTCTATCCGTTAATGCGATCAGATCGTTTTTACCTCGAACCTTCAGCCCTAGACCAAAGGTCTTCTTAAGACAAGAAAGAAGAGAAGATTTGAGCGACGGCGAAAGATCATTAATGAATATAAGAAATAAAATCGAGCCTAAAATACTATCCTGTAGTACACCAGACGTCACACGATCTGAAGAAGAAAAAGACGGACCAACGGAAACTTTTTGTGTATGATTAGAAAGATAAGATAATATCGGGCATCTTAATGAGGAAAGAGCAATTGTTTTAGAAAAGGGAGAACTTGGAGATATTCTGATGACAGATTCTTATCCGTCAGAGTTTGGACTTTCTTATGATAGTTTAGAAGTCCAGATTAGGCCATGAATAAGGTGTGTCTGTTTTCAAAATGACAGAACGTTTTGGCTATCCTAAGTATTTATATGTGTATTTGTGTTCATTTTCACTCAACCTGCATTTCAAATGTATGTATTTTCTTTTCCTTTTAACTATTACATTTAGTTACACTATTGCTTGTATTTACTCTTTTTATTTTACATATGGTTCAGATAGTGCGGTCTAATATCCCGATTAAGCCATAGTTTCGTCTCTCAATAAGGCTAGTTATATCCTAATCGAAGTATAGTTTATAACTCAATCGGGGTGTGATTGTTTCGTATAGTCCCCTCAGGATATATGTGCTAATCACACCAAGACATGCTTGCTGTTAATTGTTTTACAGGCTGCTAAAGATTTCTATAGACAAAACAAATTATTCGGACTGGTATTTCAAACATTTGAAAAATGACATAGACACTGTCATAGGATTACTTTTTGTTTCTATTTGATAATGTCCTACACGGCTTGTCCAGCTAAATTTAGCTAAAAATTAGATTTTTATACTAAACCATCTAGATTTCAAGCAAAAAGCGATTACACACTTGGGGACCTTTCCTCGTTACTGAGATATTATTATATAATGTTATATGTGTCTATGTGACATATTAATATTACATTTAATTAATAAATTAAATTAATTAAATTAATAATTAAATTAATAATTAATGAGAACTAATTTGAAAAAGTCTAATATTAGACTAGTCCGCATTAAGTTTTTAAAAATCAGTTGTAGTTGATTTGACTTGATAAATTAAGTCAAATCAATTGAATTTTAACCAGTTCGAATTAGTTTCGTAAGTTAGAGTGTTTCAAATTAGTTCTCATTAATTATTAATTAAATGTAATATTAATATGTCACATAGACACATATAACATTATATAATAATATCTCAGTAACGAGGAA